AGGTCTACACCAGGGACTTCCAGGTGTTCTTGTCCCGAGTGGCCTGCTCCTGGCTCTGCATGTGACCAGACAGGTGGCGTGGGGCCAAGGAGGCTGATGGGACTTCGGCGTCCAGAGTTTTAATGGGACTGCAGCATATAGACAGGCTCTCTGACCACATGATTAACCTCGGCCTCCAGCCCCTCTGGAGGTTGAGCTGGTACCCGTCTTAGGGCTCGAAGTTCCACCATCATCGTGTTCATCTGAGATGACATGATACATCCAAGGCCCTCGGCAAAAGATGCTGTTATCAGACAGGAAATTCTGAACACTTAGAGAAATTACCTTTCAGGAGCTGAGGGCAAAGCCAGGGCAGTCTGGGTAAAATACTTTCTGGTATGCTTTCTCCAACATCAAATATGAAAAAGGCTACGGTGAGAGAAATGTAGTCTAGTAAAAGGTGTTCATCTTTTTCTTCCTTAACTGTGCTCCTTCTTATATGCCTGTATTTTTTAAAGGACCTTTCTTCTTTTTGTAACTTTTTAAAAAAGATTTATTTATCTATGCATACAGATCTGGGGTATAGGCCAGAGGTGCATGGTCGACGAGAGGCTTCACCAGAGACAGAGTGGGGAGCAGAACATGCAGATGGACAAAGTACACTGCTGAGGGGAGCAGTGGGTGGGTCAGGAGAGGTCTGCCATGCCATGTGTGTCACCTCCGGGCGGGGGGGATTGAATTCGCATTCAAGAGGCTGCAGCAAGATTGAATTCGCATATTCAAGTGGTTGCAGCTCGCTTGCAGTGCTGTGCTTTAACCCGCTGTGCCACCAGGAAGGGCCTCTTTTTGTAAACTTTTTAAGGGCTGAAGCATAAAACAGGTAGAAGACTCATGTTCAGGGCTTGGGAAGATAGGGAAGGTAAAACAAAGGCACAGAGTGGTCAATGCAGTGCAAGAAAACAAAAAAGTATTGTGTTGGGGGGCAGAAAGGACCTCCAGAAATAGGGAATGCATTATCTGTGTGAAAATGGTTGCACAAGAGGAAGACTGAGAATTCGTTGTTGGATTTAGCCTTGAAGTCACCAGTCTTGACAAACGCAGTTACAGTGGAACAAAGAGGGAAAAATCCTGGTGGCACTGGCACTGTGGAATAAGAAGGAGGTAAAGGCAGCACATAAAGAAAGCTCTTGTGGTCCTCCCTGGTGGCGCAGTGGGTTAAAGCACGGCACTAAGAATTGAAAGCCGCTTTTGGAACTTTTCTAGGAAAGGACAGCAGCTTCCAGAAGGGCATATTTGGGTCAAGAATTCAGACTACGGATATGTTGCGATCCTTTAGGTTCTTATTTCTGTGAACAATTGCAGTCATCATACAGTTAATGCTGAGTTTTGCTTCTGACTTTGTCACACAGTTTTCCACATGGCCGTTCTGTATGTGTCTGTGCCTTTATGACTCCTCACTTTATGTCCCTTCTGCCTTCCGTAAACACTCTTCTCCACTGTGCATTTCTGATGTGGCCTGTTTTTGATTAACCACTTCTTGGATATATTTTTTTCTGCCATTTGGAGTATTTCCTTATGTCACATTCTAGATTACTACGTAAGTGTTCCCACATGTAAACTTATCTTACTGCTTCTTCAAAGGCTGGTACATATTTGTTTCTTTTTCTGTCACCCCCCGCTACTCACCCTGCGTCTCTGGCTACCTGTCTCTCCTCAAAATCTCCCTCCAGGCTACCTCAGGTCACATCCTTCTTTCTCATCTCCTCCTCTGGTGATTGTGCAAGGACAAAGAAGTATCAAGTCTACTAGATTTCAGTCATAGACAAGTCGTGGAATCGACTGGCCCTAAGCTTGAAGAGTCAGGGTAGGGTCTACTGGATTATCCTGTCTCAGATTCCGCAGCACATTCCAGTCACTTTGGGACTTTGAAACGCCTTAACACTCAGGTTTCATTGCAGATAAGTTAGAGCAGACACTCTGGAGATACCCCGCTAGTCCTAGAACCTCTCCAGGTATCCTACTAGCAGTGTGTTAGAGCCGCGGTGGCAGGAAGCCTCCGTGTCTAGCTTTCTCTCTTCGTTCAAAGGTCGGTCTTTCTGATTAGATCCCCACTCGAGTGAGTGAGCTAATCCTAGCGATCCTGCTGGGTCTGATTCTGAGGGAAGGCTTAAAAGCAACCGCTGAGTGCTTGCTGGTGTTCATTGTATGGGAGGCCGGGTTGGGGTGGCCAAATGGCCCATGATCTGATGAACACCCCAGCCCACGGGCACTGTGATGAGCTTGCAAATTCCTGCCCTCTTAGTTTTCCTCCTCTCCCCATCTTTCAACCTACCAGGACTCAACAGTCTACACTTTACTTTCTAAAATGGTTGGCAGAATTTTTTGCTATGCTTAGATTTCCTTAGTATTTGTTGCTATAATTGTGCATTTAGTTTCTATCTTTAGTCACTTTTATTCCATGCTAACCTAGTACCTGGCACCAGTGGTGTGGAACAAATGTTTACTGAATGAATTACAGGCTGAAAGGCAGAAAAAGGATTTATTCTGTGAAATGGTTATAAGCTGAAGTTGGAGGATCAGCTCCCAGGATGGAATATTTAAGGTTATGGGGGGTCGAGTTCTTCAGGATACCAAGCAAAGAAATATTTGTTTATTTATCTGATCATGTCTTCTTCCATCACTCCTGTTTTCTGAAAACTCAAGAGTCTCCTGAGCATCTTTCCTGAGTTCTCCACATCGCCAGGACTCGTGAATTTCTTCTATCCCTTCATGGCTCCTGTTCACTGTTCAAATGTTGATGTCACTTTTCTTGAACTGTGAAACATTCATAACATTTAGTAATTCTTATCTGGAAATTATTTGCATGTATAGGCCCTGAAAGGAAATGCAGTTACATTTGCATCTGACAATTATGTTTATTTTAGGAAAAGGATGTTAACTGTATTTTCCCCAATTTTTCTCTTTGGTGTTTATTTCTGCTTCTCTATCTAAGCCTTGGGATTCAGAGGGTTAGGTAGACATTGCCAGTCACACAGAAGATGGGCTTCTCAAGAAATGGGTTACCCTGCAAAACCTATTCAGCTCACCCTGTTAGGCCACTTGGGCTGCTCTCACTGAAAATAATAGCCTGACTGCTGACGCCACAGGAATTTGATTCTCACAGGCTGGAGGCTGGGAAGCCCAGGAGCAGGATGCTGGCTCCTTCCTAGAGCCTACCCCCGGCTGTGGCTGCCCACCTCTGACTGGTCCTCACACGCCCGCCGTCCCTGGGTGTGCATGTGGACATGAGAGACCCTCTCAGGTTCCCTCTCACAAGGACCCTAATCCCATCAAAGGGCTCCACCCTGTGTCCTAACTAACTCCCAAAGGCCCAGTCTACTAAAGCTGTTACAGGGTGTGTGGGGGTGGGGGGTGGGAGTGAGTGAGTGGGGGGTGTTAAAGGCTTCAGCATATAAGTTGGGGGGAGCACAATTTGGTTTACAGTATCCCCCCAGGGAAAAGTAATTCATACCCACGTGCTGTGACAAGCAAGATAAATAACAAGAGCAATCCCTCCGTGGACTCGGTCTCTCTTATCCCAACACAGCTTCCCCTTAAAAAGAACAGAGCCCTTTGTGAGTGCATGAGCAAAATGTGGAATTAATATATAAATCTCTCATTCCTGTAAGGTAGCGTGCAACGAGCAGGAGTGTGGAACTCTAGCCCTTGTCCTGTGGGAAAAAAAAATCAGTGTAACGCCCTCTCCTCCCCAGTGGGGCCTGCACATTGCCAGACACAGGTTCCTTAGTGTCCACGCCACACACGGGGACAGCCCGGCTTGCTGTTAATATGTGACTATTCTTTTAACATTTTTTTTTTAAGATTGATTTATTCATACAGAGCTGGGATACAGGCAGGCCAGAGACTCAGGGGCAGTGAGAGGCTTCACCAGAGACAGAGTGGGGAGCAGAACAGGCAGATGGACGAAGTACACTGCTGAGGGGAGCAGCGGGCGGGTCAGGAGAGGTCTGCCGCACCATGTGGTCACCTCCGGGGCAGGCAGGAATCGAACTCATGCGGAAGTGGCTTTGGCTTCTTAGTGCTGTGCTTTAACCCGCTGCGCCACCAGGGAGGGCCTCTTTTAACATTTTTTAAAGATTTATATTTTATTTATTATTCATACAAGAGCTGGAGTACAGGCCAGAGCGGTGGTTTGTGCGTATGAAAAGATTCACCCGGGACAGAGTGGGGAGCAGAACAGGCAGATCCACTGAAACACACCACTGAGGGGGAGACAGGAGCGGTCTGCTGTGCCCTGTGGGTCGCTCCCTGGCTGGGGATCGAACTGGTGCTGGAGGGGCTGGCAATAGCCTGATAGTGCCGCCAAGGAGGCCCGAAGTATGTGAATATTCTTAGAGGGAAGGAAACCTTGGAAAATACTGAAGTAAATATAGTAGAAATATGCTATGCATTATGCTTTGACTTAAACTAAGCTTTAAGAAGTCTCTACTTAAAAGTGTAATATCCACTAACGATAGGTGTTTTCAGACTATCTTGGAGTACTTTGAGAAGATTCTCTTGGTTCTTAGCCAGTTTTCTCAGTTAAGGTAAGTTTTAATGGAATTTGATCTCAGATATTACGGAATCTGTGGTATTGGCCAAGAGTAATGAGATCTTACATCGAACACTGGGCTTTTATCTCCCTCCTTTGCTGTTTTGGCTCTAGGTAATAAGACCCCACACTCAGCAATTTGGAACTCCCTCTCCATTTGTTTAATATATGTTTCAAGGATTAAAACCATATGATAAAATTTCTAATGTTTATTTTTGGTTCAACTCAGGGTTTTTCCAAACACCTTTTTCTTTTTCTAGAATTTCAATAGTAATATTTCCAGGGGGAAAATGACATGTATCTTGACTCCGTGGGCCCACCAACTTGCTCGTGTCCAAAATCTGAATTTGAGATCTTCCCCTTTCAAGCCTGAAAATAAAACAGAAACCAAGACACCAGACCTGAATTCAGGCGGCTCCTTTCCCTGCAGGAGAACGCCGTGAACGGGGAGCACCTGTGGCTGGAGACCAACGTCTCGGGAGACCTGTGCTACCTGGGTGAGGAGAACTGCCAAGTGCGATTCGCGGTGAGTGTGCCCCACCCGCCCCCGAGTGTCCCTGGGGCCCCCAGGCCGCCAGTGGCAGGGGTCACCTCGCCTGAACTCCTGGGCGAGGCTTGAAAGAGGTTGTCCCAGTGAGCTGTTGTGCAGAGTTTATTAAGTTAGCACGGCTTTCAGGGGTCAGTGCAGAGTTTATTAAGTTAGCACGGCTTTCAGGGGTCAATTTTAATGGTTTTTGGTCCGAGCATGCAGCTGGCCTGGGCGTGATGGGCCGGGTTGTGACTGCGGCCAGGGCTGTCTTCTGTCCGTGTTTTGGGCACCAGCGTGGGGGAGCTGGCTTCTGGAGGAGGTGTTTGTGTGGGGAGGGGCTCACGGTGGGGCTGGGTGGAAACCGCTGTCTGTCGGTGGTGTGGGCTGGAAAGCTCTACAGACTAAGTTCTGGGCGACAAATTGTAGGAACTGTATAAATAGCCAATAGTCAAGTACATGGGAGTCTCCTTTGCACTTTAAAATTTGCTTTGTTGTCCCTGTTTAGAACAATCTACTTAAATGTCATAATTCTCTTTATGTTCTGTGAAAAAGAGCGTGTTTGGCAGGTAGTAGACCGTAAGAGTTGAAACTTGAGAGTTGAGAAAGTGACTTTACAGTTTGTGTGGTATAAAAATACTGAAAAAAGAATCGGGGGAAGCAGAATAGTAAAGAAAGAAAGAGTCGGTTGTCCTTTCTTACCTGGAGACGTGGACACATACACATCTATTTTGTGCAGGAAAGACTTGAGGCAAACGGAAAGCCTTGGAATTGCACGCGACTATGTTTCTGTGATAACTGATCAGAGAGAACCAGTTTCCGTCAGTGCTTGTACCGTGAGCCCCAGAGGTCTCTGTCAGGCTGCCTGAGACTAAAATCCAGGTGATCAAGACTTTTCTTGGTCTCTTCTGATACCTGGTGTACAGGTTTTGCTTAGCAAGTCTGGTAAGGGTCTTGTAAGACCCGCACATGTTTGAGCAAAGCTGTAAATAGCTAGATGTTGGTGAAAGACCTCCCTCAGCAGGCTCGTTCTTGCAGGTCTGGAAACCTGAATTCGAATCTCGAGTTACCTCTCAGTGTCCCACACGGGGCCTGGCCGCCTGCCTGGGGCCTGGGCCGCCTCTGGGTAGAAAAGGCGAGTGGGGTTCAGTGACTCTGACCTGTGCTCCCAATGCAGCTCTGTATTGAACTATTTGCAGCTTTCTTAATCTTGTGAATTTTGTTCCTTTACATATCAGGCTCTCAGCTGTCAGGGTTTTGCATATGTATTTTTAATTAAAGTTTAATTGCATGCCATTTGGTGAAATTAACCCAAACCAAGAGAAGATCAGCTATTTGGACTGAATCACTATCAGTAATGAATTAACACCAGAAGCTGAGTTAATTGCTTAAATACTGGTTTTGGGATAGCGGATAATATTAAAAGGGGATAAGGTTTGGAAAGCTAAGCTTACTGGCACATAGACTCTAGCATTCTCCCGACGGATGCTGTTCCCAAGTGTGGGGTTCTAGTTGGTTACATTCTGCCTTACTTCTCAGTGACTTCCTCTGACCCTTTTCTGGTGCTCTTTTTGGGTCAATCCTATGCAATCTGTCTTGGCTTATATAGGAACATATGATACATCCTTGCTAAACCTGATGACAGTAAATAGCTTTGCTGTCCCCTTCACTACCCGCTTCCTGTCACCTCTGGGCCAGACAAAACAGCAAAGAATAAAGGGAACCCTAGTGGAAGTCAGAGGCATCAGAGCTGTAAAATTCCCAAGTGTTCTGAACCTTCCTCTTAATTTCATCCCAAATATTTGCCTGAAAGAAGAACTGTCCTCCAAAAAATTGTTAACTCAGTGAAGGGTAAGTCAGCATGGACGTCGAAGACATGACTGTGTTTCCACAGATCAAGTTCCTGCAGGCTCAGATTCTTCACCAACACAAGGGAGGGAGGGGGGCACACAGTGTTGAGGGTTACTGAGGTCACGCCTTGAAAAGACTTACTTCCTGGCAGTTGACATAGTGAATTCAAAGGAAAAACAGGAGCAGCCAGCTCCTCCGAACACCCAGTGACCATCACACACACACAGAGGCGCCCAGATTGAAACTAAGCAGTCGAGGCCACCTGCCTTTTACACTAGCAGAGCCCGGCAAAATGCTCATGTCGCCAGTATTCAGGCTGTAGTGGGCAGGGTGTAGAGGAAGCAGCACACACCGAGCTCTCAAATCCCTTTTGGGAAGGACGCTGGTGAGCAGGAGCGCGCCCAGCCTGGTTTGGAGTCAGGGCTCTGTCGTAGGAGAGAGTCCAATAACCTGGGTTGCTATAAAGGCGGGCAGGGAGCGAGGATGGGCTCTTCCGGCGCTGGGAAGGCTGCCCGGACACGGAGGTCCGGCTGCTGTCCTTGGGATTGGGCAGCTCGGCCCCAGAGGGCGCTGGTGCCCGGGCGGCTCTTATCGCCGGGAAGGGCTTGGCGATCTGTGGCTGTAGCAGACACCTCACGTAACAGGCGCGGTGGTCCACAAACTTCATCTTGAGAAATGCTGTTTTATCAGGAAGAGCTGAGCGAGCAGAGCAGCCCAGCGGCCCCAGAGGGAGCACTGGCCTGAGAGGGGGCTCACAGCTGGGGTTCTCAGTAGGCCGCGGCCGCCTGTCATGCTGCCTTGCAGAGGGCCGCGTCGCTGGGGAATCTGCCACTTGCATTGTCTGTGTAGCTTTCTTAGGACCAGACAACAGTTTGATAAGATCGTCTCTTATTGTCTCGCTTTGAATCAGTGCCTTGCAGAAAGCTGGTCCATCTACACGGGCAAAAGGACCACAGTCCGGTGCTGACTGTGGCATCCCGAGTGCGGGCACAGGGTTTGGACGGCCTGGAAGCCATCACCAGAGGCCTGGCCCTCACTCCCGCCCTACTCCCTGTAGCAGAGCGAACGCCATGGATAGAAGGCAGGAGAAGGGCGATGTCCCTGTGTCTTGAGGCAGACAGAGGCGGCCTTCTCTGAAAGCCAGGTCAGATGTACGTGTGCGGAGCTGGGGAAGGGAACCTTCCAGAAAGGGAGAGGAGCCGGAGCGGACTGGAGGCGGAACCAGCTGTGCATGGGGGAGGCGATCCCGGGGCTGCATGAACCCATCAAGGGTCACAGGTGAGGTAAGAATGGAAATAAGGCCAGATGCGCCTGGTGGGGTGGGGGCCTGCGCTTCGGAACCACATCTCGGAGCCCATGTTAAAACGTTGTGTGCTTGTGATGTGGGACCACAGACGGTCCTGACGCAGCCAGTACGGTTTTGAGGATGAAGGTGGATGCTAGCGAACAGATTAAGGGTGTGCAGAACGTGGCAGGGAAATTGTTCCCCTAATTTGTGGGGCATTGTAGCAGTCTGTTTAAAACCAAAATTGTCCTTTGAGACCAGGACATCTTGCTGCCATGCAAATTGATATGGGGGGGGCAGTGAAGCAAGGGGGTGACATCAGGGACCCTGGGCGGTTATGGGTGGGTTTGAGCCACTGACGCCTCGGGCGTGGACCGCATGTCTGTCTCTGTTTCTCTGGTGACACCACTTAGTGCTGCAGGGAGACTCTGAGCCAATATTTAATGGGATTATAGTTGTTCCTAAGTCAGTGACAGTCCCCAAATTAGGAACTGTTTCTTTTTCTGGTCTACGTGCAGAAGAAAGGGGCGGGACAGATGCAAAAGGAATGAAACTGGAGCAGAAGGATCTCTGTTTTGCAACATGCTTATGGGGGAAAGCAGAGATAAAATTCTAACTGGAACCATCCTGGCTTGGTGGTGTTTATTCCAGGGCACATTACTTTATTCACTTATTTGTAAGGGCTTTGGGCTGAGGACCCGGAACCAGGCACCCGCAGACAGCACCCAGGTCTCAGTGACTGCACACAGCCTCCGTGAGCGGGCCCTTCGGAGAGGCGGTTCTCACGCCTTGCTGATAGACTGTGTCGGGGACGCACGCCGGCACCCACGGCCCATGGCGCGTACGCCGGTGCACCCTCTGTCCACACCTACGTGGCGTTTGCCTGCACGATACCTGGCCACACCTGCCGCCCCTGCAGAAGAGGCGGCGGCGGCCAGAGGTGGACTTGGCTTGAGGCCCGTGTGGATGGAGCTGCTCATCGTGCAGGGTGGACATGCCGGCCGTGGTGTCGCCTCTAAGCCTCCCTGTCCTGATTCATTGTTACTGAGGTTCACCGCTAGTGATTCCTATTTCTGGGTGAGCCTTGGAGTCTGGACTTTTGTTTTGTCTTTAAAGTCGGTTGTCCCCAGTCTGGATTGGTCACAGGAGAACCTCCAGGCAGTGGCCCTGGGCATGAGGTTGTTCAAACACCGGATCATGGTTTCTCTCACAGCAGGAGCATAAAGGACCGGGGTGGGGGGTAGTAATAATGAACAGTCATATGCCAGAGACATTTCATGGGGGTGGAGTGGGCAATGGGATCAAAAATGGGTGAGGGGAGGGAAGTGCACGGGACTGTGGTGATGGCGCACGGTGACTGGGTGATGGGAAGCCCACAGGGATTACAACTGAGATGGAAAAAGGCACAAAATGATGGAAAAGTAAACTCTCATTTAAAAAAAAAAACGAATGCTACAGGCAACTCTGGCCGTTACAGAGTTGGCCCACAGCCGCCCACCTCGGGGCTTGGGGACAAGGGTGTGGCTGGGCCTCGCCCTGCCCATACTGGCCTCTGGGGTTGGTCGTGAGCTTGTTGGAAGTAGCCGTGTTGCAGGTGGGAGTCGTCAGGACCAGGTCAGACAGGAGCAGGGTGGGCCTGAATCCAAGGGGCTGGCGAGCAGAGGAGGACACGGTTGGAGACAGACACGCAGGGACAAGGGCTGGAGCCACAGGGCAGAGGTGGGGGGTAGCGCCGGGGGCACAGGGCAGGCGTCTGTGAGCCTGGCAGACGGGTAACAGACGGGTCCTGGAGCCCTCGGTGGCTTTTTCAGGCTTTGGTGATCTTTCTGCGCTATTTATGGGGACGCAGCCAGGTGCAGGGCAG